GCACATGCTGCTGAGCCAGCGTGTTCCGGGCTGTCGGAAGCAACGATGTTGGGGCCGTCAGCGCCATCCACCGTTGGGTTTCCCACCACGGCTGAAGCCAGTGCCGCCAGGCTCTGAGCATCCTTTTGGAGGGTGAGCGGCACTTCCCACTTCTGTTTCTGAAGCGGCACAGACATGGGTGTAAGGCTCCCTGTGTTTGCACCGCCGCTTCGCTGAGCGAAGCTTGCCGTTGGCGTGCCGAGGCTACGGCGCTCTAAGCGCCCCGAGCCTGGGCTCGAACTGCGAGGGCGACGAGGGCGAGTGGTCACTGCCCGAGCTTTGCTGACTTCAGTGTCTGTCTGAGTGGCCGTGCTCACTGTAGGCACTGTAGGCGTAGTCGCCGTCCTGGTCTGATCAACGCCACTTGCAAGCTTGCTGAGCTTGCTGGATGTGCGCCGCGCCCGAGGAACCACAGGCTGGAAGGTGTGCTCCTCTGTCAGCTGTCCTTGGGCGGCCTGTTCTCTGCGCTCTTCGGCTTTCCGCATGAGCTCCTGACGATTTGCCGCCCAATTCTTGGCCGAGCTAGATGCCCGAGCAACCCGCGTTTCAGCCATGTCGAGGCTCGATCGAAAGTAGTCTGCCCGGCCTTATGTGCTGACCTGCTCTAGCGAGTGGGTGCCTGGGCTCTTATGCTTACCAATCGACTGTCTTATTATTTACCGAAGGAGCAGACCACGAGGGGCCTCATGGCTCTCGTTGGGTCAGTGTTCTTCGTGCTGCTAGTGAGGTTTGCTGTGCGACTAAGTCGTTTAACAGGTCTGGTTGTTGGTAGCAGGGGATCAAAGTGTAAAGTCTGCTGCTGAACAACAGGTGGCTGGCGGATTTGCACAGTCGAGCAAAAGCTTTGAATCAGGTGGGTGCGCTCTGCTGCGCTGGCCGCTGCTTCTATGAACCACGATTGCAGACGACATGAAGTTCTCGCATGATGACAGTGCGGGACCTCTGAATCAGACCAAAGGCGACCGTCAGCTTCGCCTCTCACGGGAAGACACAATAGGCTGGCTGCAGTTGGCCGGGCTTAAACTGCATCACAGAAACTTTGAAGCTGTGTTTCAGTGTCCAGTCTGAAGATGCTGGAGCCTTCAACTCCGCGGAAAGAAACCTTGGCCACACGGCTTCGGTTCAAAGCGAACGCTGAAGTCCAAGGTATTTCGAGCAAAAAAACAAAGTTACTTTTGCTACAGCTGTCTTGCAGACCGAGGCGCAGTGGAAAATCCATCATCCACAAACGACGTTTCCTCCTGACGAACTTGTCTTTGTCTGGTTGGCGACTTCGTGCATGCGGCATCATGCGATGGCAAAGAGTCTGCCAGCGCATTTCGCTTCGTGCTTCGCGCTGACATGTGCTGGCTGCTTACTCGAAAGATGTTTGCACGGCGTGGCAGGTTAAAGGATTAACTGATACTGTGCAGCTGGCAGCACCAGTCTGGAGGAATCCGCCTCCAAAGACAAAGCAGCTTTGAAGCGGAAGTCTGCCGTAGGAAGCTGTAGAAGATCCTGCCATGATCAACCAAGCCAACGGGGGTGAGCATGTTTCGGGATTCTCGCTGACTCTTTCAGCACATGCTGGACTAATTACTGGCCTTTCACTTCCACCTGGCACTCTCAACATTGCACTTGCAGCTTCGAGCTCTTTCTGAAGATTGAGCTTGAATAAACCAACCTGGAAGCAATGTGCCAGGGCCACGCGCTTTCTCTGCATGGGGAGGTCTTGACGCCTGCTCCACTCAGACGGTGCATTGAGAGAGCTAGCTCTTAGAGAAGTCGCTCGAGGTCGAGCCGCTCACTTCACTGCCTTGCCATGCCTTGCAATTCCTCGAAGAGTCAGGCCATCTCGGCCAGGGCACAATGCAGCGCGACCAGCCAGAACCAAGCTCTGCAGCTGCGCGCACACGTTTGCGCTGCCAAGCCTCGGAGCTTCTCGAAGCCGGCCACAGAAAATGTGACTGACCCTTGTTTCACTTGTCTGTAGCATGCGAAATGGTTCTGGCAACTGTGCTACATTTCTAAAGAAACGTCCCATCCTCGGCCCTTTGCATGAGTGGATGTTCGTCGCGAAAGGTCAATCGCAACCTCGGGTGCTGCTTGGTTGAGACCGGTGCGGGGAGCGGGCATCATTTACAGCGCAGAAGCGAATGTTACACATTTTACAATGCCCTCCTCACAGCCCTCCAATGCTCAACCCTCAAAACTCACCATAGCCTCATTGAGGGCCGAGAGGGCCCCAGCCCACTCTTCCAGGCACCGGGCGGTTCTGGGAGTTCGGAGCCATCAGACAAGCCTGATTGCCGGCAGGGCGCTCCAGTGTCCAGTACAGTATCCGCTCGGATACAATCGGTGACGTATTAAGCATGCAGCATGCAGGTACACCTTCTGTGGCTTCTATGGCGAAGCTTCGATTCAAAAGACTTGACAAGCATTGTAGGTGCGTGTCGAAACATATGACACACGTCGGTGGAACCGGAGATTGTCTGGGTCTGTGGCTCATGTCGCACTGGACATCAAGAGATGCTGGATCCAAATCACCACCACCTGACACATGCACACGGTCCACATGAGTATCTCAGCATTTCTACAGTACCAGCATCAGCTACACGCATCGCTTAGCTCCCGAGCCCGTCTTCTGATGCTTGCACTGGTCAAGATGAGGTCCCTGCAAGCAGCAGTGTAGAAAAGGTCCTGTCGGCCCCGAAATATGGGTTTCCGTGCTCGTTGCGTGTACATGAAGTGACGCGCTTGCTAGCTGAGCAACTGTGTCTTTGGATCCGGCTAGCGGGACCAGAAATCACGCGGCCCCCATTCAAGCAAATTCGTGGGAGAGCTCATGCTGAATACTCCCCTCTGTTTCCATGGGGGGCAGGCTGGCCAGCTTTCAACCACCGTGGCTGCGACGCTGCAACCAAGTCTTAAGTAGGAGGGAAAACATGCACGTTGTCAGCACGGCCTCTTGGCGATCAAACATAAGGTTTGGGGCGTGCAAAGGTGCAAGCTGCAGCAGCAAAGCTGGATGCCCCCGCCCAGCTACCCTCTGCTTGCCAGGGGAAAGAAGAACCGTCAGAGTTTTAGAGCGCTGGCGGAAGCTTGGCGCAAAAAAACATCCCAGTCCCCAGTCTACTCAGAACGTGCAAAGGCTCATGGCGGATCAAAAAACGAGAGCGACTCGATCTCGCCTTCCAACTAAGCTGCGGATCGCCAGCCTCCAACTACTTGAGCACCAGAGCCATGGCACGCGCTCTCACACATCAGCACCCCACAATCCACCGACGAATGCGGGGTTGGGACCGAAGCATGCGCCACCTCCATCCCAAAACGCTGCTGCAAGCGATCACAATCACCCTATACAGTCGAAAGGGCAGCGCAGGATAGGGCATGGTGAAGCGGCCACGAAAAACAAAGTTGAGCTCCTGCCACAGCCTAGGCAGTTTTTCGAAGCGTTTGTAGCAGTAGGTGCACCACACAGCCCTCGACATCCAAAAGCTCGCACCGGCAAGGCCGTACCCGCTAGTTGCGTTGCTGCCTGGTTTAACCCGCGGTTGGAGTATCCCAACTCAGACTCGGCTTGCGGTGATGCATCCCCATCGTGCGAAGAATTTTGTACCTCTACTCCCTGCCCAAATTACAGCTGAGAGTCCACATCCACGGCCCTTGGGATCGCGGTGATCCTGGCCCATCCTTACCTGCCCCTTTGCCACTGCAACACATCCATTCCCTGCTTACGGTCAGGTCCGGCAGGGTCAGCGAGCTGCCGCTCACTTGTCGGTCCTGCCAAAGAAATTTGCAGGCACAGAGCGGCTGGAAGACCGCTTTATGATCGGAAGACCGACTATCTCGATGCGACCGAAAGGTACAAGTACAGGAGTTTCCTAGTTACCCTGCTAGTTGCACTTTTCTGGGCATTCTGCAACAGAGTCCTTGCCGGCACCTGTCGCGATCGCACAGGACTCGTCATGAGAGGTCGAAGTGGGTCCAGCGCGGAGCATGTGCAAGGATGCCACGCTGTGCTGCGAAAGGCTGAAAAGCTGAACCAGAGAGCCCTGGCCCTGGCCCTGGGCTCACCAGACTTGGAGCTGGCTCTCACGCCTCTGCCAAGACCTCTGCAGAGCGCTGGGCCCATGGGCTCTCTGGGCTTCTGGGCTATACTCTCGGCTTTGAACACCCCTGGTCTGCCAAGCTCTTGATAAAGAGCGTCGCGAACCAAACATTCAAGCCAGTGGTAGCGAATCAGCTACTTGCAGGGACATGTCTCAAATGTTGTGCGCTGCCCCGGGTGCTTCAAGACTGTAGAAGTCACAATGGACCATTGGAAACTGCACTGCGAGCATTGAATCTTGCAGCTACTTCACTTGCCGCTCGGCAAGAGCTCGGCAGCATGCGAATTACTCTTCTGCTACTTTTGTGATTCATGTAGCTGGGGCCGAGGCCCACAACAACGCTTGCACCTTGCCACATCAATTCGGCAAAAGCCGTGACTGGGAAGAAAGAGCTTCGTGCATTGACTCCTCTTCTGTAGGCAGCTACTCATTAGGTACGACGTACGACCTTGTCACCTGAGCTTGGCCTGCAAGTGTTCGCCTGAGGAATCTCAGCCCCTGGGAGGCTCGCAACTAAGCTCCCTGCTGCCTCGCAGGCGTTTGCGACTTCCGGGGGTGTCGACAGCCTGCGGAGGGGATCATCGCAGATCCATAATTCCCTCGAGCGAGGCTTCGCTCGAGGAGCAAATTACATGCACGCAGGTGTGACTGGTATGAGAAGTGTGTGACAGCCAACAGTGGAACCCGGCAATTGACCGACTAATGCTGAGCATGCCGTCTCTCATCTATGTCTATTTGCTGCGAGCAGACTGCCATGCTGAAAAACGAGCATGCTGAAACACCAAACCCAAGATGGCAACACACTACACCTACAAGGGCAAGCGCCGGCCAGTCGGAAGCAGCTACGCCATTTTCGAACCGGCTGCGGGCTCACATCCGATAGACGGCCTGACATCGATGCTAACATCAGGGCAGGAAAGAGTGGCAAGGCTCCAGCGACAGATTTCGGGAATATCTTCAGGATCCTGAACTTCAGCCCTGACGGGTGGAACTTAACAGCACGAAGCCTACACATCTTTCTTCTTTTAGCCACGATTGCTTGTTTGCCCCACGTCAGCCACGGCAGGCATTCAATCCCGCACTGCGCTGCAACTCCGAAGCAGTTGACAGGAAGTCCGCACTGCCACCCTCTGCCTTCAGAGCAGCGCTTCTGCGAAAGGCGCCGCGGAAAAGGCCTGCTGCAGCCGCACATTCCTTATTTGCTGGAGGAGGAGCGTCGAGGAGCAGCACAGCTGATCTAGGCAAGACCCGAACTTGCGGTACATCTTGACACTTGTGTAACGCAGCTCGAGCTAGTCGCAACTCAACATCAATCATCTGAGCGAATGCCGCCGGAGCAAAATCGCGGGGTGGCCCTAGAAAAGGCTCAAAGAAGAGGGCCTTCATGCTCCCCACATCCTACACCAAGACCAGAGAAGCTACTCTTATCAGCTCATCTTATCATTAGAGTTGGAATTTCCAGCGTATGCAGAAGACGGTCAGACTAACTGGCAGAGCAAGACACGCCTTTCTCGGCGAGCAGCTGCGCCTCCTCCCGGGTCAATCATGTACTTGCGCTTTCTGGACTGCAGGTGCCGTGTTGTACAGCATGCGGGACGGCATGCAGCTGGTGCCTGGTACATTTGGAAGGCCTCTACATCTTCCGGTGCAGTGCAAATTTCCGGATGACGACCTTGCACTCTGCGGACTGATGCGAAGAAGTGCGTGCAGGATCTGCGGGCCGCACATGTGCTCCGATTTCCACAAGGGCCGGGACGATACAGAACATCAGTGCGGATGATGTACTTCTCCGCCGCCGGGATGCCTGGTGGCAAATTCTCATTGCCCCCAGTTTGAAATGACATGAACATTTCCCAGCAATGCCGCATCGACAAGCTGCGTGCCTTCATGCATCAAGCGATGGTAGAACACCAGCATCCTCTGAGGCACAGGCAGCACGCGAATTGAGCAAGAAGCTCATAGAAGCTCCAAGAAGCGTACGCTAACCCCATCGGACAGTCCTCCCTGATTTCGGAGCCACTTCGGCCAGGACAAGATCTCTGTCGCCTGGAAATGCAGCGAACGGCTCTTTTCTTGCGAGTTTGGTACAGATTTGCTCGTGTTAGAGAGAGCCGCGGGAGCCAATGCACTGAGCCAAGTCTCCGGTCAGCCGGCCAGCATCATCCATCTGCAGTTCTCGCTGCATTTGTTCGTCAGCATAGAGGCGAGTGTGCCCACCTTGCTTCAAGATCTAAACGGGCAGCACCCCACAGGCACAAGCAGGGCTTACCATCCGAAGCAACGGCGGTGTTGTGTGCCAGTGCGGCACTCCAACTCCATGCTGAGCTTAGCCCCGTAAGGCTACGGCCCCATGGGGACGGATTGAGGAAGAGAACACAGCCTCAGGCTTCTCAAACAAACTCATGCAGTCTACATAGCTGCATTTACATAATTACCCCCGCTGCAAGAACACATGTTTGAGCAATACTGCGGCCAGCACCTCGACCCAGCCTGCTACTATCCATCTCTATGAAAGCAACAACGAGCACAGCAAGACAAGGGACTATAGAAGGTACGGCGATTGAAATCGACCACGGTGGTTCCATCCTCAGTCGTGAACTGTATCGGACCGAATCTCAACAACATAATAGAGCACGTGGGTTTCAAAAACTTTGAATCCCTGAGACCACTCTTAACGAACTTCAACTACGCATGCCCTGCCCCTAGCTACAGGGAAAAGCGCTCACAGCGAAGAACACTACGCCCACCCTGGCCCGGGCCTGAAAGCATGAGAGCAGCAAACTTACAACAGCAAGTATGCCTTGGCACTAGTCCACTCTGAAGGCTCTACTCGGTTAGACCTTTGAGAACACGGCCTAGCAGTTCGAGGAGCGTGCGAAAAATTAGATGCTCGCTTTCAGACTTGCTTGCAAGCATGGCATTTGATGGTTTCGGAGCCGCTTGGCTCGCGCCTGCATACGGTTTCCAACCACGAAGAAGCAGAAATCCCCATAAGCGCCCGTCCGTGTGGGGACTGAAGTGGCCGCCATCCAGATAGCGCGAAAGCAACAACTTGGGATTCCTCAGTTTTCCGGACAAGTTGCCCGGAAAAGGCACGGGCAGTGTATCAGAACTTACTAGCCTGCGGCTTCGTTTGAGTTTGTATCATTACAAGTTTCCCACGAAAAAGCCTCTTCGTCAAAGGACTTGAAGCGGGCTGGCAAGCCTGTGACTTAAAGCTCGCTCGCGCCCCAATATTCTTCATTCAAAGCCAGCCGAGTCTCATCGCATACGGGCACCACGTGCCTTCGATGTCGATTTCGAAGCGTGGATCTTCTGGGCCAAGCTCAACCTCATGGAATTCGAATCGGACCCTATCTTCGCACTATGGCTCGTACGAACCGCTCACCTAGTACAGTAGCATCTTGAAAAACATCCTGAGTTGCGGAAGCTTCCTGATGAACCTCATTCTTCATTCTCTAGCACAGTATCAGTTGAATAAACGTTGGCCGAAAAGCCTTAGGTTGGACATGAGCAGAAACTCTTCGCCAGATTCGATCTGCCAAGGACTGATGCGTCACCTGGAGTGTTTGGGCTTCGTAGCGGGGCGTGCAGCTAAAGGACTTTGCGTTGGGGCTGTGTCATAATTTTTTTGGATTGCGTTCACTTTCGAACTCCTCAAGGCTGCCCTGGGCGCCGCTGTCTGCTTGGCATCAACATGCACCATATGATATATGTTCTACTGGATTTTGGCGTGTTCCAGTCCTTGAGAATGTAAAGGTTATGGGACTTAGTAAGTAAGTTTATAAGTGATATAACCCCAATTATAACCTACAAGCACTTACTACGTCCCATGATCCCCTAAGAAACCTTCATTACATTCTGAAAGCTGCTCTCCAGGCCTCCACCGTGTGCGCGTTGCGGAAGGAGATGCGTGGCCTCGCCGGATCGTCCTCCTTGGGATCTCTCAGCCCGAACAAACATGAAACGGGCCCTTCCGATGAGCCACATCTGAACTTCGTAAATTTGAGGAAAACAGTTTTCGTTGAAGCACTTTGAACTCAAGCCTCCCCCCGCCCTCCGAAGCACATTGAACATCTGAGTCTGACTCACGATCGGTTGTCAGTAGGAATCGTTAGAAGAGTGTCAGTAGGAACCTTTAGAAGAGCATCGAGTTCGAGGCAAACCTTGTCCGTTTGAGCATTTTCTGGCCACTGAGTACTGAGTAACTGAATCTCGATTTTAGCCGCAGGCACTTGAACCAAAACCCAAGTCGTCAAATGCTTCTATACAACATGCAAGTGAAACACACCTACCTACCTAGACTATACCCCAAATCCAGTCACGCCTTCCGAGTAGGTATCACTGCTTCGCTGTTCCTGCGAGTCTTTAGCTCATGCTTTCCAGATCTGACGGTGTAGCCCATCCGGCCCAGAAGCTTTGTTGCGGTCTGGCCGTCCAAAGGCTCGGTCATAAGATCCGCGAGCATATCCTGTGTGCTCACTTTTTTCAGGCGGGTTCTTCCTTTCTCTGCTATCTCTTGCACCCACATGTAGCAGGTGTCCATGTGCTTGACCTTTCCCAGTCCTCGCCACGAGGCGATTGAGATGCCTGCACTGGCATCCATAGCTATGTAGACAGATAGCTGCACGCCCCAATCTGCCATCTTCGCTTGCTCGCCGAGGGCGGTCGATGCAGTAGAAATCAAGCCATAGTACTCTGCTTCCCCAGTGGACAACGCTATCACGGCTTGCCCCTTGGCTGCTGTTTTCACCGTTGCTTCTCCGAGCTGGATCACCGTTCCAGTCGTACTCTTTCTAGTCCTGACACATCCAGCATGGTCGCTGTCGGACCAAGCATTGATGCTTGTGCAGTGCTCCTGATAAGGGATCAATTGCACCAATCTTGGACAACCTCGGAGATATTTCGCAGCTCTCTTGAGGAGACCCCAATGGTGTTGTTGAGGCTCCTTCAGTCCTTTCGCCAACTCGCGGACAGTTCTCAGCATGTCCGGTCTGTCCATTGACAGGTAACCAATCCGCATAGCGATCGAAGGGTAAAGTGCTGCTTCAGCAGAACCAAGTGGAGTTTTATTCACGTCCTCCTCTTTGCACTCGAGCAGTGGAGTTGTGACACAGGCTCCGTTGTCGAGTCCCAGCTGTTCGACAACTAAGTCGACATGCCTCGGGTCGGCTTCCATTTCGATGCCCTCCTTGGTCCACATCACTAAGCGATTCAAAACATTTTTCTGGTGGATCACACCTGGCACTCCCGAGCCGGGTCTAGCCAAGATTCCCCTTGTCTCTACTGTCCAAACCTTGCCCAGTTCGGACTATAGCCATTTGAACTCCTCGTAGCTTCCCACCACTGTGAAATCATGACCATGGATGTTGAGTCTCAAGGATCGTTTCTGGTGGAAGTACAAGCACGGATTGCTTCGGCCTTGTTTGAAGCCTAGCCTTTCCAGAACGTCATGGATGGATTTCTCCCAATTGGAAGGTGCATCTCTTGTCCCATACAAGGAACGCTAAAAAAGTCCGACTTTATCCTTGCCCTTTCTTGCTTCCGGAGGTACCTCGACCAGAAGTCTCCGTCGGACCGGTGACCAAAAGTGAGCTTTCTTCACATCCAGAAACATAACGCAAACCTCGCCTCCTGACCCTACCAGTGTCAGCTTGCCACGGTCGTTGGGTACTTGCTTCGTTGACGCTAAAGTGATTTGCGCCCGCGCAGAACTGAGCGGCGGCATAGCAGCGAAAAACATCGCTCGAGGTAGACTGGTCTTCGCACTGTTTCGGTCCTCGCGCTCTTTTGAGTTCTTGAGCGACCAATCGGAGTTTGAGTCGAACGGCATCTCCCGTGTTGATGTCCACCCACCTCGTGCCACTCACCTTTTCTCCGGCAGGACAGGGCATGATTTCCCACACGCCCATGTGCAGGATAACACTTACCTCTTCGGCGCGAGCTGCCTTGACGCTCTCTGCTGGGAGTGAGGTCGTCATCGAAGGTCTCCATAAGGATATCCTCCATCAGACCGTCATCCAGGTCGCACGTTGGCGCTGCTCGACTCCATCTAGGGATAAGCGACACACCCCGCGCGGCGGCAGACGCAACACCTACCTTGTGGTTGTTGTGGTTGTTGTGGTTGTTGTTGTTGCTGCTGTTGTTGTTGTTGTTGGTTGAAATATGTATATATATATATATATATATGTACGTATGTGCGCACGACATGCAGGAAGATCCGTATTCGATCTGTGTTTAATCTCGGGTCGTCAAAAGCTTTCGGGACATTCGGCTCTCTAGTTATCAGCACAAATCAAACCCCACAGAAGTGCCCAAGAAATGGGTCTGACCTTCAGTGGTGCTCACATTGCGAACACGAGCAGTGTGCCAGGCCTCCGCTTGAGATGAGTTTGCGATTCCCACGGGTTACGAGGGTTTAGGAAGGACAGCAGTAAGGAAGGAAGGAAGGAAGGAAGGAATTGCACTAAACTATCCAAAGCCAGGAGTGAGGGAGAGGGAGCGGGAGGAGAGGGGGAGTGTGGGAGTGAGGGAGGAGGGAGGGAGTGGGGAGTGGGGAGTGCGGGAGTGGGGTGAGGGTGTGAGGGAGTGAGGGGGACTGAGAAAGCAAAGTTCAGGAACAGCTTCTACGGCCCAACCCGAAGCTCCAAACAATAGGCCTGCATTGGCCAGCCCGAAATCACAGTAAAGAGAGCCTCTTCATTAAACAGTGCAGCATTCCAAGGAGCCGATCAACACATGCGCAGAAGGAACGTCCGCTCGCATACTTATTTGCATGACTTCCTACTCATACTCGAAATGGGGTAGAAGGCCGCGAGGTCAATCCCACTAGATGCTCCCATGCAATGCCAAGTCTCTGCCAGCACAACTCCCGGCCAATGTTTTTTAAACTGGCACATATCTGGTCTTGCGGTCCACTGACCTGCCCTCATTGAAGCACAGATCGATGTAACCTTTGGGCCCTTGGGCCCGGATCAGGCAAGGCAAGTCTCACAACCGTGCATAGAGCGACGTTCGCGACCTTAACCTCAGCATCCTGGGATGTGTCCCAGGCCAGGATCTTCCTTGAAACAGGGAACTGGCTCGCAAACCACAGTTCCAAGCGGTAGCTCCACTGCCGCCAAGCGTTCGGAGCTTCTTCCAAGGATCCTCCGAGTTTCTCCGGTGTGCCGATGGCTTTGGTATCAACCAAGGATCTTCCTTGGCCTTGCTGCGGTCCAATTTCCTGGCACTCAAGTATACGCGGAAGCCTTGTGAGCTGCTCTTGCTGACCCTGAAGCAGGTGCAGCAACGGCTCCTTTCCTGGACTTCCTCCTTGTGGTGCCGGTTGCGCCATTGCTCACCTAATCCTTGTGAGCCTTCGACAGGCTGCAACTGTTTCAAGTGCCTCTGCTTCTTTATCAGGCGGGCCCAGTTGGCTCGCGCTCGCTCCTGGATCAATCGCTGCCTTCTTCTGCAGCAAATTAACCAGGCAGCTCCGCTACCATGAATCTCGACTTCAGCCGCAGGCACTTGAGCCAAAACCCAAGTAGTCAGATGCTTCTATACAACATGCAAGTGAAACACAACTACCTACACTATACCACCAATCCAGTCGGTAACCCTGAAAGCCAAAGCATAAAACTTCGAAAGTTCGATGGCAAGGGTAAACATACATCAGTTGTCACGGCTGGCAGGCGAGCTGTTCTTGCAAACGGACAGGAATTGGGCCACAAGGATTTTGCAAGCTCTCATCCTTGCACATCTTTCTAAAGCCTCATGTCAAGGCCTCAAACAACAGTCTGTCGGCTTCCTCCAAGTGGCCCAGAATGTCCAGAGTCCCTCAGCGCTGCTGCGCAGGGCATGGCACTCCGTCTCGCTGAGGACACCATCCAGGACGAAAGCGTCACAGCCTGTACGCAAGGTCTGCCGTAAAGTGACCGAAAAAGACCGAGGGTGAATCTCAGTGTTCTCTTTGATAGAGAATCTGCGGGAAAGGCTCCCATTTAGCTTCATGCCCGGTACTCACCAAAGTCGCTTAGTCGATTGCGAAGAAATGTCCAAGACTCACTGGAAGATGGGTTTGCGGGGCTTGAGGTCAGCCTGCTCACTGTTCTAGGAGTTAGGCTTCAGGGTCGGGTTTGTTCACATCTGTTGGGCTTTGTAAGGCATTGAAGTGCTTAGGGTTCAGGGCCGCATCACACAGCTGCCATGGGGCTAAGCCGTTTTTCAGGGGTGTGGCTTTTTCTGCATTTGCCGAAGGCCTTGGAAGCCTTGGGTGCTGACCAGCGAAAGACAGGATTGTTTGAATCTTGGCACTGATCCCGGCAACACTGCACGCATATCGCCAAATCGTCCTTCACGAAGACTCTCATGCCGATCCTCGACTTCCGTTTGCAGTGCCATGGCAGCTGACGGTGCCAGGGAAGTCACGGTGCCATGGGAGTTCTTCAGAAGCTGTTTATGCTTGCCTGAGACCTCACGGGAAATCGACCTGGCAGCTGATTCAGGCAGGGGCCAGTCGTCAGTTAAGACACGAAATATCCATTTCCAGGGGCCGCCAAGACCCCTGCTCTGCCTCTACAATTGTGTTCCTTGTAATCCCACAGGCCTGGGATATCCCACCTGACCACGGTGCCTTGGCTGCGCGTGCAACTGGACGAGTCGAAGCCTCGCAGCACACCTTCTGTGAATGCTTATGGCTCATTGTGCCTGACAACACGCACACACAGACACACAGACACACTTGCACTTCCACTTTTGCATTCATCCACAGCCTCCGGCTTGTGATCATGATGTATAGAGCCAAGCTCTATTTTCAGAGACAATGGCAGGCCGGAACCAGGATCTGGGCTAAAGTGCCTCAATACATTCACTGATTCAACTTGCCAGGTTTATGGCTTAGCCTGTTGGCTATTGCGGATGCAGGTACGAAGGAGTGATCAGCTCCCGTATCAGCCATGAATGAATACAGCCCGCTTTGTTGGACCATCAACTGCATTCATGTCGTGTTCTCCCCCTGTTTTTTTACATCGAACTTGGAGACAGTTGCCCGGGTTGGAAGCACACACACACACACACCAAACACACTTCTCTGTAATGCCTGCGGATGTGCTAGCTGTAGGTCGCTGCCATCTGGTCGAAGCTCTGACTGATAGCAGCCACGGCTCCTATGTCAACCTCTGCCGGAAGCTCAAAGACATCAGCAGAGACTTCTGCCTGGTCATTTCTAAAAAACCACATGAAAGTGACAAAAACGAAGCGTCGACTGTGCCACGGAATTGCTCACAGGTATCCATGTGAGAAAGACTCGTCAGCCTTGTCGACAACGTTGGAGATGGGCTTGGAGGCTTTGGCAGCCAGTCGGGGCTGCTCATCCTCCTGGCAAATCTCGTGTTATTGTCCAAGTTGGTGGTACCGATGCCTGCAGCTGCCTAGACCTCGGTGTCTGCTCTTCCTGGCGGACTCACTCCATGGCCGCTTTCTTCGTATTCATAGTAGGAGCGGGACTGAACCAGCATCACAGATTCTCGAACCCAGTATACTTCAAGGTCGCGAGAAGCTGTAACGAAACCTTGATTTTTGCCTCCTGGCTAGGACGAACCTACGATGCAGGGTCTAATGCAACCTTCATGGTAAGCTCCCTTGATCTCCCTTGCTAGTGTGTTTTCTGGTGACGGGTCTGGCGTCAAGGAGCTGAATCACGGGAAGGGAACACCCTGGCGCGGTGCGCATTTTCGACTAAACGTGCGTTCTCACCACAGTCCCCACGCCGCTCGCCATCACCGAAGACGCCGAATTCGTCGTAAGACTCTGACCACAGATGGAACATGTTTGGAAACTTCCAGTTGCGTCGGGAAAATCGATGTCCTCAGAAGAGGCCGGATCTTGTTCTTGTCTGAAATTCTCCTCAGTCCTTGCAGGGTCGCAGTCTCAAGGAATTACACTAGATTCGAAACAGAGCAAACTGTGAGGTTGAATTCGCGTCTCACTTGCCTGGAAGAGTATGCCTGGCTTTCCAGCTGGTAGTTCTCAACGCAAGCAGCATCCTCGGAAGATCTTGTTATGGCTTGGCGGGGGCACTGTACAGCACTGTCGTCATGCGACGTCTTCGTAAGCGCACTTTCTATAGAGTCTTTTGTGCAAGGAACGGGGTGTTACTCAAAATCTGTCGAGCGATGTCTGTCCGCAAGGCAAGCCCTGCCTCCCACCTTTTCTAGGTTTAGCTGTTGGATAGTGTCAGTCTCGCAAGCCATCATACATGAATGGAGCAGAATGTCCTGCGCAGGCCCGGAAGCATGTATCTCTTGAAAGGCTTTGCATGACGTCAGTCAAGATACCAACAACACAGAGCTTAACAAAAGCGGTCCTGCGCCGGCACGGAACTGATGAGCAAACCCCACCTTAAAAAGTCTCATCAAGCAATGTATGCGGCGGCTGGCTGCTTCTATCGGCACCAGGCCCTGGGCACCAGGCACAGGGTCCAAATCTGGATCGGCTTTCGCCATCCTAAGCTCTCCCATAAACTGTTGCCGCATCAGTGCGTTTGGGAAGCGGCAACCGGTTACTGTCCGATCTTTGGAGCGTTCATGACACTCGGGTGGTAAGATGTCTAAAAGTCAAGCAAGACAATCAACACTTGCAGCTACACGAACAGGCACACAGTCTGCACGGAGGTCAGGCCTGCCTCCTAGGCACGGAATGCGTCTAAAGCTGCCCGAGCCAAAGGCCCCGATGATTCTGGGCATGGATGGAAAGACGTGAAAACCCGTCCTTGTCTCCCTGCTAGAAGCCTACTATCAACATACTTACATTCTCGAGGTCACGGCGGCAGCAGATATCTATTCTTCAACACAGCCAGGAGTCCAGAACGTCGACAGTCGTCGGACGGAAATCCTCTTTTTCTTTCTGCCGGGCTTAGGGGTCGCGTCGTGGCGGTTGGACGGACGGAAATTTCTCTCTTTCTTTCGCCAGGGCTATTTCTCTCTCTCTCTCTCTCGGGTGTTGGACGGGAGCGGTCCTCCCGTCCCGCGCGCGAGTGCTACCCCATCCATCATTTGATACTGGTTCCCCGATCCACTGTTTGTGAGACTCTGGTCCCTCTCGACTCTCTCTTGCTTGCTGCATGGCTTGCTGCGAGGTCAAGCAAGGACCCGCGGCCTGGTGCCCCCACCCTCAAAGTTTTCAGAGGGTAAAGGCTCTGGGTTCCCATGGACTGTGATTCAGTCCAAAAGTCTGCACGACTCTCTCTCGCTCTCTCGCAATGGGCATGGGCGAGCCCCGTCGTCGTTGTATTTCATATCTTGATTTTATCGCCTGAGTCGCCTCTGACTCACTGCGCCGGCTGCAACATCTGAGCACGAAGACTTCACAATGCCAGGCGTCTCATCGGCCGTGGCTTGGCCATCTTTGGAGGCGTCGGCCGAAGCAGAAATCGACGCCGCCATAAGCATCAGGCTCTTTGGAATAACGTGCGCAACAAAATGCGAATGGAAGGACTTCTCCAAGATTGCCAAGGAGGAACTGCGAAGATCACTTCGAAACTTTCCATTTGCAGGCACTTTCAAATCTATGACCTCCCGGCCTGAAATCTCCGTGGACCCCTCAGGACAGCAACTCACGAATTGAGGAACGTGAGAGTATCACGAGTTGGAAGGTTTTGCTTCCAGATAAGTTCTCACTTACGGAGCTGTTTCTACCCAGGCTAGCGAATAAGACGACTTAGGGGTTCAATCTTTCTCGCATCGACGGGGTGGCAAAAATGCTTGGCTCGCGCATGGCTGAGGGAGTTCGATGTCTGAGGGCAATTGTGTAGGTCCTGCTACAGGAGCTGTGAAGATCAACAAGGCAGGCCGCCCTCTTGCAACAAAGCGAGACAGACCGACTTTCTGCAGGCCTCAGTCTCCCGACCCCCCCGCCCTCCTTCTCTAGAGTTGCGCATCATTTCCAGCTCGTCTCATGGCGCATCAAAGGGTCAGGATCCAGGAGCAGGTGTCCTGGCTCAGCCTGCAGCAATCGAGACTGAACACTGAGCAAAGCACTCTGCAGCTTCTGAATCCATCTGTTGGACGAACACCCTACACTGCCTACCCACAGCATCAGCACCTTCCTTGGGCAGAGGCCTTGCTGGGAAAGCTCCATGAGTTTGGCCCACATTGGGTCATCATCTTCTTTCCTCGTGGACAGCAGACAAGCGAAGCTTTATGTCTTGTGCAGCACGGACCTGGCCTGAGTCCAACACCCCCTCACTTAGGGAATACGCACACGCGTAACCGATAACGGAATGTGGGGGGGTACGCACCCACAGCACTTGTTGCACAAGGACTTGTGCGATCGGCTGCTTACATAACAGCTATACGAATAACTGCGGTAATACATGTATGATCTACACACGTATATCATACATTAGTTTCTACGTGCACGTAAGGCAGCATCTGACTAAAAGTGTTCGAAGATGAGCATAACAAAGGTTGCCTGCAGCCAGCAGCTGCCTCTGCCGAGTCCGCCTTTCCTAGGATGCGGCCAATGACGGATTAAACCGTTGTAGGGAATCAGAGTCCTGCAGCATTTCCTGCGAGGACTTTGCTGTCGTAACCACAGCATGTCAGTCACGAATGTTGAGAAGCTGCGCTTGGCTTTCAGGGCGCGCTTTGCTGCTTTCTTGGCCTCAGCGCAAACTTTGCACCCTAGCCACACACAAGCTCGGTGGGTCGGCTTCAGTCCCCAACTTGCCTAGGAGGTATTGCATGGTATTGCTTTCTTGCTAATGTTGCTCACGGATCGATGCGGCACGAACATCCGAGTCCGTAGTTTTTATCCTTCCATCATTTCGTGTTGACCCTGGCCTTCTTTCTTGCTTTCTTCTCGTCCTTTTTCGCCTCGAGGGGCACTGGCTGCTTCGCACGAAGGTCGCGGGCAGCATCGCAATTATGCTATCGCTGCGACTACGGCTGCTGCTGCCGTGCTGTCAATTACAACTATTGGTTTCTTCATTGTGGCGGCTCTGTTTATTACTCTATCAACATCTTCACCTTACATATTCGCCTCAGCCAAGCCCAAGTTTGGCATGGTCATGCAAGTCGAGCGACTAGCTGATCTTCCTGCACTTAGTTATGTGATCAGCAAGAGCCGTAAACAGGAACCTTTTGAAAGACTGTCACCACTGCGACATGAAACGAACAACTTCCATGTTGCCTCCTCCAGTGCCCGCGTCTTGTGGCGCTGGATCCGGCGACGTAGACCGAGGGCTGCATCGTTCTCCGTGATGAATCGGCAACTGTGGCAGATATTCGTGTTCAAGGGGATCTAGAGTCAGATTTTCACCGTGTGCGATGTCCAAGGTTAGTGTTCAGGGGCAAGAGCCGCCAACCGTCTAACACTTAGCAGTGGCGGCCGCGAGATGGAGTAGGAGGAACTTTGCTGACTCAAGTCCACCTGAGGGCCAACCCCAGGCACTTGGACCTTGTCTCTTGCCTACCTCAACTGATCTGCCTGTTGCAAAGGCAAATGATCTGAGTACAGCACTCCATGACGCCGTAGTCCGTGTTGTCACTTCCGGAGCTCACAGACATGACGTCTTCGGCGCCCCTCACCTCCAGAGTCTGGGGCAATGTCATTGCTGTCATGCAAGCCCATACTGGACGGTCACAGATCTTTGGCAACAACACGACGACCACATCACAATCATCCAGGGCATGCCGTGGTGTAATACTCATCACATATGTCAGTCTGTCATCGCGCCTCGCCGGGTGTCTCTTGGCCGAGTTCTTGTTGAACAGAAACTCAGCTGGATGGCTTCGGCCGGCTTCCAACTAGTTCCACGTGGTATGGATGTCTGAGCCTGACCGTGCTCTGACCCTGCATTTTGCGGACTGTGTTAACGTGAAGCGCGCAAAAAAAGTTCGCGAGGAACAGCTGTTGAAGGAGCATTTCCAGTTCCCTATGTCTGTCTGCAGTTGGGTCGCAGTCAGACCTGTCGGGCTTTGGCGTCGGAGAAGCTATCCGCTTGCCTGGCTACACACGGACCAAGAACAGCATGCATGCAAAGCACAAGATGCCTGGCACACTCTTCAAGCCCTGATGTCTTCAGGGCAGCATTACAGTACAGTAAGTTTGCACCGCTCATCGCCGTCAGCGAAGTTCAATGCGAGAACCAACCCAAACACGAGCTGCAGTTGCCAGAAGTCTTAAAGTCTTAAGTTTCTTATGAAGTTCCCACCTACAGGTACAGCCAATGAACCGGCTCGGCTTGGTAGTGACTCTAGTGGCCGCACAGAATAGCCTTTGGGCGGAGTGGTCTCCTCCTTTTCCACATGTGCTTTTGTCTTTTTGCCTGGGCAAAGTGTGAGGCGAAGCAATCCCCACAGGCTTCGTCTTCAAGGAGGTCTGATCTGCTGCCGGGGGACGCTTTGGGCGATCCTTTTTGGATGCCGAAGGCAGGGCCGGCTCGGAAAGGGCTGTGCCTGGAAAGCAAGGAACAATTGCAGTCTGCCAAACTGAACGTCGGATGCCAATCCACGGACACAAATGCAATCAACTCCATGTCACACTGCTGCTCTGTGCACATGCTGCTATTTTCACCATGAGATATGTCATACTGTCCTGTGGCATTATGACAAACTCTGTAATTCTGCAGCAGGCCAAACCCTTCGTTGCCAGCATTGCATCCGAGGAGCTCTGTACAGACTTTGTGGCCGACGACGCTGCGCCTGGCACTGCACAGATTCTCAGTAGTTTTGGCACGGCCTGTGTACAACAGCGGAGCAGTGTGCTGTGAGGGTGCGCCACCTAGCTGGCTATAAGCTATAGCTAGCGATGATGACAAGCTAAAATCATGCATCACAGGCAGACACGCAAAAAGCGGCTCAAAACGGATGCCGACGATGCTTGCCGACCATTGCAACAAGGTACCAGGGCGGAACAAACTGATCCCCAGTGACATGCCCACTTATGCCCACCTTTGGCTTTCCTCCTCCTTTTCTTCTTCTTGCTTTTTAGAGCTTGGTTTGTCACATCTGCAGCCATCTCCTTAGTACAGCCCATACGCCTACAGGCAAAGGAGGCCTCCGGCGGAAGAAACAGAACAAAAAGTTCTTGTCGTGACTCCAAATCTCATTCACCGGGCAGTGCGCAAATCCTCTATCCCAGAAGCTTTAACTTCTCCACACGGGTTCATCCTGCCAAGAAGCCTCTTCCGACGCGCCCCTTCGAGCAGTTTCGTGAGCCGGCTGCTGCAGCCAGCGCCAGTCCCTGCTTTGACAACGGAATAAAACAGGCACTCATGGCTGTGCTGGTCATTCCCGTGTGGATCAGCATGTGAAAAGACATGTTGGAGTGAATAGCCACAGAAATGCTACGAGGTCCACGACATGTTGAAACGCATGACCTTGCCATGCTTGTGACAGAAGCAAACCGATACATGGACCTGAGATCCGAGTCATCATGGTCATCCTGCTCTGAGTCCTCGCTGTGGGCTCGCCATCTGGAAGGCTCCCTGGGGAATGCTGCGGGGATGGTGTGACAGGGCATCCTTGAGATGAACGATGTTGCAAACATGAGTGCTGATCATCAATGGTCTTGTCTGGACGTGGTTCTTCGTAGAGTATTGAGTATTGATTTTGTTTCGTGGGTCTTTCATGCAGCTTTCGTTCGGCGTCCTCGTAGTAGTTGTAGTAGCAGCAGGAGCAGGAGCAGTAGGAGTAGGAGTAGTTTTTGTCACCCACCTAGCACGGCTATGCCAGCTCCGCGGGGCTCTATGAGAGCAACAACGACTGGGAAATGCATTCTTTGAATTCCATAACAACTGGACCCGCACCGGCCTCTTGCGACAACAGCGAGAACAACAAGTTAAGGCCACGCAGTATAGCAGCCAGTGTCGGTCCACAGACAACTGTACACCCCCTCTAGCGCGCACCAAAGTGGTAGTAGTGGTAGCAGGAGTAGTAGTAGTAGTAGTAGTCGTCGTCGTAGTAGTAGTCGTGGTAGTCGTGGTAGGCTTGGTAGCAGTAGTAGTAGTAGTAGTAGTAGTAGTAGTAGTAGTAGTAGTAGTAGTAGTAGTAGTAGTAGTACAGTAGTAGTAGTAGTAGTGGTAGTACGTAATCTCAAAATCCACTTTGTCGACTTTGCAAACTCGAGCTTCGGATTTCGGCAGGGTTCGAGCGTTGGGGGGTTATGACGGCTCGCTTGCGCGCACGTGCATTTTACTCGGTATTTACAAAACTTTCTGTAATGTTCTACTTTTGCTTGTTGCCTCAAATATCCATTTGTCCACTTTGCCAGCTCTGGTGCTTCTGATGATGAACATATGGTTTCAGCCGGCAGGTCGTTTGTATGGGGGGCGTGGCTACTAGTAGTAGTAGTAGTAGTAGTAGTAGAAGTAGTAGTAGTAGTAATAATAATCGTCGTAGTGGTAGTGGTAGTGGTGGTAGTAGTAGTAGGCACCCCCCCTACTGACTACACTTGCTCTCAACCATGTTAAGACAACATCCATTTTACTCGGTATTTACGGCACTTTACTGCAAGTCGTGGGCCATGGCGTTGAACAGGCATATGTCTCGGCGATTCTTCGTGCAAAACCTACTGCAATTTGCCAAAGACTGACCCACTGCAAACGGAAGTTGACTGAACTTGTGCTGCAAGAAAGACGACATATTCTATATTCTAGACAAGTATACTACATGCTATATGACCTTCGACAACTAGTGCTTTCTTCGCCTTGCCCTCTCATGAAACTTTCAGGGGTACATGGCATTCGATATTAACACGTTTCATTCTGTGCTAAACTCCTGAAGGCATGAACATTCAAACTAATGCTCACATGCAACTCGTTGTTAGAAATGCAAGTCGACCCTCATGCCGATGCGTTTATGTCCTTCCTCATCACCGCCTCTCAAGCACAGCCTCTTGAGGTGCTGCTTGCATCTAAGAAGCGAGGGCGACGAGTCAGATTCCTCCCTCTCCTGCTCGCATCAACTGCGAAACATGCTGTCCATGAGCCGAGCATAGTAACCTTTCTTAACTCCTTCTCTTTGAAGTCTGACGGCTTGCTCTGTGGCTGCGTCTTTGGCCTGCAGGACAAATGCCAGCACGTCATCTGCAAATCTGGAAAAATCTGGAAGACCCACAAATTAGCAGCATCATACGGTTCATTTTCCTGTTCAGAGAGGCTCTCGTTTGTCCTGGACTGGTTCCAAGATGTTGACAGTAAGCCAAGCAGCTCTCTTGATTCTCAACTAGCTCAGCATCTTACGCACTGCACGTGGTCACCATCATGAACAAGATGCCACCTTTTCGTCATCGCTCGAAGTTCTGCCAAAGTGCCTCCCAGAATCTGCGAAGTCATCTGACACGCCAACCTGAACACGAGTGCCCGTTTTCCACGAGCTGAGTACAATGCAGCCAACTGTACCACAGGCAGCGCCTTGGGCCGGAAAACGTTGAATGGCCGCTCTTCGGCTCCAGTGTCCCGAAACGCACCGTCCTGGCAAGGAAGCTTGGACCGCATTCCAGGGTCTCGATTCTGCATGCTTGCCAGCACGACGTGCTTGTTTGTGCCAGAAGATGGAAAAGCTGGAATCGCCGTTGATTTGACTCAACGGGTTGCAATGGCTTGCCCCTATATGGTCTGTCTGCAGCTCGACCTTGCCTACCGTGCAGTGATGCGGCTGCAAGCCTCCGAAACTCCGGTGGTGTGCACACTCTGGCCTGTGCAGCAGGCTTGCTCCAAGCTTTTGGGCGAGCACCCCGCTCTCTCCTCAGCACGTTTTGATGCAGTCTTATTTGTGAGGGTGGTAGGGAACGAGCGCTTTAGCTGCGCCCCGCATTCCCATCCAAAAGCTGCAATAAGGCCAACCAAGTGACGCTGGGGCTTCTTTCCCTTGATCCGTAGATTCGGATTCAATCGCCTGCTCAGCAGATGCTGTGGCGTGCACGGTAAGCTACTCAGTGTGCACCTGCTTTTGTGGTGCGCTTCCTTCCGTTCTTCGCACCTGCCGCCCCCAAAAAAGCCCCCCAAGCCCCTCACATCCGGAGTGCCGGAGGGAACGAATCCTGACGAGGCTCTTCTGGACTCTTGGTCTCCTTGTCGCGCTTCTTCTTGGGCGTTCTTGATTCCTGCACGGCTCTGTGCGAGGAGCCGAGGAGGAGGGGGCGACGGGTGGACACTCCGGCTTCGGCACACAGGACATTTCAAAGGGGCGCAAGAGAAAGCAAGAACGGTTCACAAAAACTTTCTGCAGCCCCCGACCTCCGGGGCTTCCTCCATGTCACCAGCTGCCCTTTTCTCCCTCCTCGATGTGCTGCTTCCTGGTCCTTCTTCTCGATTCACGCTCTGACTCTTAGCCTTCTCCACGACTCTTCGCCTTCGGCTCTTTGCAGCCTCCTGCAGCTCCAT